AGGCGAGTAAATTAAACCTGTCTTAGTCTTGCTAACTGCTTTACTGCTGTTATTAGCGAGCTAACGCTAGCTTGAACAGCTGGATGACGAGTAAACAGCAGCAGCAGGGCTGCTGGAGGCTTCTTACGTCCCTCAATTCAAAACGTGACAATGCTTTTATTTTTTCATTTTTGCTCCTCGTGCATCTCCGCAACTCATTGAGTGACGTAATAATCGCGCGACACAACGAATTGATAATGGCATTCGTTGCCAACGCTTTTAATAATCAAATGTTATTGATTTTAGCGATTCGTTGTTGCAGCCCTACTTGCATTCGTCCCATTGTGGGTCAGCTGATAGCAGTCTTTCATGCACTCGACCCACGGCCACTCTGGTGCGTGTTGTTTTGTCCGGTGAAACAAGGTGCAGGATGGAATGTCCAACAACTGCAGACTCGGTCAGAATGCCTACGACTGAACGCCGGGCAGAGGCCCTGCAACATGTGTGCCAACAGTGAGACAGTAGATCCAACAGTGACACAGTAGAACCATGAGTACGACAGTAGAACCATGAGTACGACAGTAGAACTATGAGTGAGACAGTAGAGTGAGACAGTAGAACTATGAGTGAGACAGTAGAACTATGAGTGAGACAGTAGAGTGAGACAGTAGAACCATGAGTGAGACAGTAGAACGGGGTTTCCCCAGATAGAGAATAGATACCTCCCCTACGTCCTGCCTCTCCAGTAAGAATAAGAAATGCAATCTTTGAATATTAGTCAAATGTTTCTTTAAAGCTGCGCTTAATAATATTTTCTTGAAGTGACAATTTATATGGTCAAAAGTGTTGCTCGTTGGAACAAGAGAAAGATAATTATCAACCAACTCCGCAGCAGTTTTTTTTTGGCCTCTTTTAGCTGCTGTTTCAAGCAGTTTGTTTTTGTGAGATTAATCATTTCCACACTACTTACTGGCACCAACCAGGAACATTCTTCTGCAAATCATGGATGTGTTGGATGTGGACATTTTCACAGTGAGTGAAGAGCTCCGCCAAGCGCTAACGGACGCCATGCTGTAAAATAACTAGTAAATAAACAAGTAGAATGGGATGCCAAGTGGACGCATCGAACATGTCTCACTCACCCAGGCAACCTTTTGTCCCTGCTGTAACCAAATGTACATTTGATACGCTTTTTCACCTTGTTAGGCAACGGTGCATTTAGGTCAGATATGAGTGGGTTATTATTCAAACAATTATCCTTTTACAAATAAAAAAATGGCATGACACAGAGAGGGAGCTTCAAAAGGTTCACCTAGCAGATACTTGTTTGCTGCCACAATAATGCAGTAGTTCCTGTGAATAGAACCTTTTAGGTCCAAACAGCGGCAAGGAAACAGGGTTATCACACATGGATACAGTGTAGTGGAGGCCTGTGGCCTGCTTACACTACGGAGCTGTGTGCTTTGTCTAATCATCCATTTCTGCCTCGCTAACCTCTCATTCTCCTCTCGGGTGAGACTCCTCACCCTGGGGCGGTTTTCCTCCCGTCCTCTCTCTAAGAGAATATGGAATTCTAGTGGCAAAAGCAATCAGCAGGCTCCACTTCTAACCAGTCCCCAGCTGTATTTGCTGTCAAATTAAAAGTGATTTTTCTTTCTTTTAGCACTCCAGCATATTTTCTATACCCACATCCCCTTAAATGTAGTCTCTCTCTCGCTGGCTTTGTTCAACTTGACAGAAGCTCTCTCTTTCTCTCCGGATGTTTCCTCTCCTTTCCTTTCTTCTTGCGCCTCCTCTCCTCCTCCCTCTTCTTTCCTGTTTAATGTTGCTCTCGGTCCAATCTCTTTGGGGTCGGCCTGCCACTGTTCATTTTAGACAACATGCCATCTAACTTTAGAAAGTGCTGTGTATGCATTGTGTGCCCAAGTGTTCTTTTTCACCTGGGTTTTCAAACACAGTTTAAAAAAAACATTTTTACCCTTAGTCGCTTAATGGTGAATCAGCATTAAGACGCATAATTACCATCGACAGTAAATTATCTTTTTTACAGCAGAGCGTCAAGAAACATACGCAGATGCATTCCTAGGCTTCAAGGCATAAGACATGTTGCTCCTCTTTTGTTCAAACATATGCACTGCAGTTATCAAAGCAGGATCTAAAGAGAGCTGACTGAGACGAGAGAAAAGTGTGTGTGAAGAAATCGGGTTGATTTGACACCCCGTTAAATATGCTGATAGATGTTAAACAAAGCGTTGTTAAAGGTCATTTCCTTTCGACTTACAGAGAAATGCAGCTCTGCTGACAGACAGTTTGAGGAATTATATAAGTTTTCTTGGATGAATCAGTTTAAAAATGGAACGTGTGGACATTCTGTCTAAATGCTGTCCCTTTTGATGATGCTGTATCCTCAGAACTCTGCATGGACATTTCTGCCAAGATCTGCCAAGGAAAGTGTGAATAAGAAAATACAATGCTTGATTCACTTCTTGGTTTGGATGCATTTTAAACAAAAAAACAATCATCATTGATGCTAAAAATCATTGCTCAACACAGGAACTTGCTGTCTCAAAGTGATGCAGAAAAATTAGTTCATGCGTTTGTCACTTCCAGACTGGACTACTGTAATTCTTTGTTATCAGGCTGCTCTTGTAAATCTCTTAAGCCTCTCCATTTGATTCAGAATGCTGCAGCACGTGTTTTAACAAGAACTAAGAAAAGGGATCATATCACTCCTGTATTAACTTCTCTGCACTGGCTCCCTGTTAAATCAAGAATAGATATTAAGGTACTTCGCACCTACAAGGCACTTGCTGGTGAGGCACCGTTGTATCTTAAAGAGCTTGTAACACCGTATTGCCCTACAAGGCAACTGCGCTCCATAGATGCTGGGTTACTTGTTGTTCCTAGGGTTTTAAAAAGTAGGCTGGGAGCCAGAGCCTTCAGTTATCAAGCTCCTCTTTTGTGGAACCAGGTTCCACTTTCAGTCCGGGGGGCAGATTCTGTCAGCTCTTTTAAAGTAAAACTTAAAACTTTCCTCTTTGATTCTGCCTATAGTTAGGGCTGGCTCAGGTTAGTCCGGACCAGCCCTTAGTTAAGCTGCTCTAGACTTAGAATGCCGGGGGAATTCTTAGGACACACCAAGCTCCTCTCTCACGCTCTCGTTCTACCATAATTCACGTTTTATTAATGCACATGACTAATTCAGCTTCTTTCCGGGAGTTTTTTGTTTTTTCTCCCCTAGCAGGTCTCCGTAGATCGTAGTTCCTTCTGGACCCTGGTCCTGACACCTACCGTGGCCATGCTGCCGCCTGCTGCTGCCATCATCATCATCATCATTATTTTAGATATTAATCATATTACTGTACTCGTAAACCAACATTACCCTCTCCTAAAGTCTCTGTGCTCTCCCTCCCCACAGGCTCCTGTGGATGGTGGTTCTATCTGATGGTGGTTCTATCTGATGGTGGTTCTATCTGATGGTGGTTCTATGTGATGGTGGATGCCCCTGCAGTGGTCCTGCTGTGCGCCTGGCTTACTACTCACAATTACTTGAATCATTTCTGTCATAGGAATTGCATGTATTATACATTGTTCATTCTGTACACATGGCATCCATTGTAGTCTGTCCATCCCGGGAGTGGGATCCCTCCTCTGACGTTCTCCCTAAGGTTTCTTCCCTTTTTTCCCTCTTGTAAGGGTTTTTTCATTTTTTGGGGAGTTTTTCCTGTGTCGATGGAGGGTTTCGGGACAGAGGATGTTATATGTGTACAGACTGTAAAGCCCTCTGAGGCAAATTTGTAATTTGCGATTTTGGGCTATACAAAATAAAATGAATTGAACACAACATTGTATGAAATGAGATTAAAGTCATGTTATCATGTCACTATGACAATCCAACTATTTCCAGTTATTCATCACACATAAGAAACAATTACTAGTCAGCTGTTGGAAGTGGCAGTGTGACAAAATATGAATCTGACTTCTTCCATTTAGAAGTAACTTCCATTGATTTTTTTTTTCCTACAATTAGTTTTTTTGTTTTGTGTGGGTACCATTATGCACAGTGAAGGACCATGTTTTCAAATCAAGGTGGCTTTCACTAATGTCTTGTGATTGATTTCATTGAAATCTGGAGAATTCTCTAAGTGTATGTGCCCTTCATACACTGGCTCTTACATGTGTACCCAACAAATGGGCTCTACTTCCATGAGGCCCCCAGGGACCAGAGGCCGTGTTACACCAAAGGAGACGCAACACAGCGATTTAAACAGAAACAAGGAGATAGTTTATTTGAAATGTACAAAAGCTATATACACACACACACACACACACACACACACACACGCACACGCACACGCACACGCAGACACGCACACACACCATAGTAAAACTGAATTGGCGCATAAACAAAAACATTTTCAAGGCTACGTATAAATTTAGCGAATATAATAAAAAGAGGAATTTCCAGGACGAGTTCCCCAATCCGGTTCCCCATCCAGAACAGGATGACTTCATCAAAGTCTCAGTCCTCCCTGGACTCTGCAGTTCACCCAGAGCCCAGGGGAAGTATGTGGTGCAGCGAAGGACGGGGGTATGAATGTGTTAATTAGGATTGAATCACTACTGGGAAAACAGAGAGGTACTTGTATATTCTTTTTGAGAATAGTCTTCAGACACAAGGGTTCATATGCCCTCATACACTACACAGAGGAATATGCTTGTCCTGTTCAATCATTTACCCTTGTGAGATGGGACCACAGAGAGTTAATGCGTCTGTGCCCGGAGGGCACAGAAGGAAATCAGATTTTATAGTGCCAGTGCCATCCCAAAGGGCTCCGGCCATGATGAAAAAGCAGTTCATATCTGTGGATCAAAATGTTGTAAAACCAAGTGTTCAAATTAGGGCTGTCAAATGCGAATTTTTGTGAGTCACAATTAGTCCAAACTTGTTGCATTGTATAAATACATTGAATTTTGTGAAATTTTATTTTAATTGTATAATGAAAGCAAATGCACAGTTGCAGAATCCCATCCAATCTTTATTATGAGTAGTTGAAACTCAACAATAAAAAAAATAGGTTGTGCACAAGACAGGTCACTTTAGTGTCCCTTCTTTGCTTGTTTGTAATGCCGCAAGATTGAATTAAGCATGAATACAAGTATTTATGTATGAATTTGTACATTTATATTTTCTGGGTGCTGACTGTTTATTAACCTCATCGCTTTAAAGGGGACATATTATAAAAAAATTACACTGTGGTTGTCTGGCATGACGACCAACCCCCCAGAACTGGAAAAAACAATGTTTTTGTATGACTCCTGTAATGAATTAATAGTAATTAATACAACCTGTTTGGATGTTTCAGAGTTTGCTGACATCCCGCCACCCAACACATCCCCCCCAACACGCCGAAACACCCCTCAAAACCCTCAAAATGTGCTGTAGTCGGCTGAACAGTTGTCTACATAACGTCCCAGGCTTTGAAGGCACGAGAACCAAATGGATTCATTCCATATATGAAGACCATTTTCCAGCAAGAATTGGGAAAATGCTGTGGGTTTGCGCAAATCCTTTGGAAACGGACCTTTTTCCCAACTAGGACCAATATAACGTTGGACCTAAGACTGGTCTTGTTTAGGAGGGGGGTCTTAAAGAGACAGACGCTTCAAAGGAAATGTTTCATCCAGAAGGTGAATACACAGATATTCACAGACAATACAAAACAAAGGATATGCTTTAGCATCAAAGCATCTGAACGTCCTAAAATGAGCACGTAATGTCTCCTTTAAGAACCTTTGGATCTTTGATAATGTCTTTGCGGAAAAGATTATACAAATTGATAGAGTTGTAAACCTTGTCGCATAAAAATTCAACTCTTCAATTAACTTTCATATCAGTTTCTCACAGTAAGGATGTCTAGTTACCACTGCAAAAAACTCTTCACTTCCCTCATTTATTATAACAATAGCTCAGCCTGGTGACACTACTCCTCTGTAATCCACATGGTTTGCAAAAAAAGGTTCAAAAGAAAATCTAGTTCAAAATACATTAATTATCCATTCTGATTTCATAGTAGAGGTCCATATGATACTTTACTTTTGACAGCCCTAGTTTAAGCATAAAAACTTGATAGAAAAACTTAAGTACAATCCAGTATAATCTATACACATCCTCAAATTCACTGTCTGCATGTCCATTTACTGGCAACTCTATTTTCATGAACTGCTTTCAGTACAACACTATTACAGCAACAGATACTGAAGGGCAACTGTTTGTTAGGTACCAAAATAGTTGTAGTTAAAATGAATGGATTTTAAACACATAATTATATATATTGTACTAAAGCCTTGCTATACCTACTATTATTTTTTCAAAGTAAAATATCATAATCGGAAGGAAATATTACAAGACAAGCATATTACTATGGACAATGGAGAAAAGCATTTCGGAAATAGCCAGCATTGCAATATTCAATCAGTGCTTTGTGTCGTCCATATATTCGGGATGTAGAAAGAGTTAAGACTGGATGGATGAGAAGCTGTTGAATTGCTCTCAGCTTATCAGATTGAGAAACTTGTTTTCTTCAGCCAAGGCTGTGAGCATAGAGTTCATGTCACCAATGGCCATGTTGCCAATCCCTGCTGGTACGGACGTGAGGGTGACAGAGTTACGAGGGGTGGTGAGACGGGAGGAACTCTGTGAGAGGCTCTGCAGGAGGCCAGGACTCAGTGTGCCCGACATTAGGCTGGAGTGGTCCCCATCATCTAGCAGGGTGTCGAAGTCAATCTGGGCATGCTCCGTGCCAGCTGCTGCATTTGTGGAAGAATCCACAGTACTGCTGGAGACGTGGTTGACTCCGGGTGAGGCCATGTGGTCTGCAGCAGTGGTGTTGCTGGCTGGAGCATGACTAGCACTGGGGGGCATGGAGGCATCAAAGCTGACTGAAGTGGGCGCAAACATATGAACCTGACCCGAGTAGAGCATAGCAGAGTTTGGATTTGCAGAGTTGCAGTTGTGGGCTGATGAGCCTGTGGGCCTCTTTGGGCTCGCCTCTGATGTGTCAGTACCAAAACTGGGGTTCAAATCGGATGACTTGGGTATTCGGTTTGGTTGCATCATGCTAGACCCAGTCTGTTGCCTGGCAATGGCCTTGGGCTCTATGGGAGGCCTCGGTTGTAACATTCCTCTGCCTCCATTATGGATATTGTGCTGTTGAGAGACAACACTGTAATTTTGCTGCTGATCCACTTGGTTCACATGACAATACCCATCCACCTGTGTCCTTGCTCTGTAACTGTGCACTTCTGTAACTGCCATATTGTTCCGGGTAGGTCTCACGCTAGTGCTCCCAGATATAGAATTTGGGATTATCTCCTGGCCAAACCCTTGCTGAGGACTCATTTGCTCACTCATGTTTACAGGGTTGCATTGCCTCAGTTGCTGATGCTGCTGGGGGGGGATGCTCATCATCCTCTGGCTATTGTGGTTTGCATACCCCTGTATTGACATGTTCTGACTCATAGGCACTACCTGTTGATTGCTGCCCAGGCCCTGACCTTGTCCCTGGAAGGATCCCAAATTATGTCTTGGCTGAACAACAGCCAGGTTTCCTCTTAAAGGATGCTGATGTTGTTTGGAGAGCTTTTTTGTGGTATCCACAGTGCCTGAGCTCACCTCGTTCCATTGCACCGGCATGTTATTCTTGTTCACATTGCCTGGTGGTGCGGAGAAGGGCTGATGGGAGCTACCAGGACCCATCTGCTGGGATTGCATGTCCTGACCAGACTGAGTCATGTTGGCATCCGCCATGGCCATTCTCCTCTGAGCATAAAATGATGCTGATGAGGTCATGCCTGTCTGATAGCCCTTAGTCAGATTGTTCGAATGGAAATCCCCTTGACCCAAGTTGTGACCTGAAGGCCCAGAATTCTGGGACCTAAGATACTGCACAACATCATCTGGAAGCACCATGTCATCCTCTCCACCCTGCTCCCCCCCAATTATCATGCCATCCACAGCCATGTTTTCCATGGCTACATTCTCAGAAATGCTTGGAGGTCTGGGGGCAAATGGGTAGCGTTGCAGGCTGCCATCAGAGCGAGTGTAGCCCTGCATAGTCAGTGCTTGGTGGCGTTCAGCTGGTGGACCATTCACAGGGTTCATGCTGTTCATACTGTTATAGCGCTGAACCCTTGGAAAGGACAGAGGGTCCAGAGTGGGACGACGCACTGGATCACTGGCACGACGTGGAAGACTGGTGGGTACTTCATGGGGCATCATGCTCCGAGTGCCATATCCTATATCACTGCATCGCCGAGGCACAGTTCCAAAATCTGGCTGATGGAATGGGTGCAGCGTGCCTTCCTGGGGGTCACCGTAGAGTGCCATGCGGGTCCTTAGGCTCATTCGATCCATATTGGGGAGAGGAGTAGGTGGAGCTCCACCAATGGCAGCAGCATACTTTGCTTTAAGTCGATAATGCTGCGCTGGTGTCAGACTAAGGACGCTGGGTAGACCTCCTCCACCGACACCACCACCTCCACAGTGGCTAGCCTCGCTGGAGCGCCGAGACAGATCAGTGGAGATTGGGTCATAGGAGTCAGCCGAACTAATATTGTTGTGACGGTTAGTCCCAAACTGGGACGCCTCACTGGAGCGGCGGCTGGAGTAGCAGGGTGAAATACCGGAGGAGCGCCGACTCATGGTGTAAGCTGAGCTCATGGTGCTGGTGGTGCTGTCACGGCGCTCATTCAGCTGGTTCAGTAGTGTTATTTCAGATGAAGACAGGTCACCAATGCGTTGACCAGGGTACGAACCACTTAAGTTACTAATCATGTTTGAGCTCTCCAGCAGGGAACCTGGCAGAGGAAAAGGACTTGATTAGATAATGACACCAGGAAATTATTCAAATTAAAATGATAGACTAAGCATTTCTGTGCATGGCCATTGGACTCACTCTACAAGTAGACATGATGCGATTCAGGCATCTTGCACCCTCATCAAGGACTGTCAAGGACTCCCAATACTGCAGCAAACATCTCCTCAAGTCATACTTACCGACTGCAGGTATGGGAGGCAGCTTCATGCTGCTGCGTTGGCCCTGCGGTGGTTGGGGGGCAGAGTTGACCCAGGGGCAGGAGTCCCTCACTGTCTTCAGCCTTTCCTTCTTGATGTTCTCCAGCTTGATGGTGACCGTGCCAACATGACCCACAGCTTTTCTCAACTGAAGCCCCACCCCAGCCTGCTGTCCCCCAGCGGAAACGGTGGAGTCAACCATGGGGCAATCATCCAGTGCGCTGAGGTCCCCGAAGCTGCCCCCGCTGTGCAGGGCCATCTCTACTCCACTGTCGTTGTTGTTGGCGCTGCTGAGCGGCGACGGCTCACTGCTACATGACGAGTGGCCACCAGGACTGGACTGATACGTCTGATGGAGGACAACAGGGAGGAATTTAATGGAACAAATCAAACCGTAGGAGCTGTAGTTTGAATAACAGAGCTACATGCTTACTTTTTAACTAGTAAATAAGAAATGAAATGGGAAATACAGAGGGAAATAATAAAAGATAAAGTGACATGCCAAGTTCAGAGAACTCCATTATGTATTCTTCAATATTAAATAATCACCACATTAAGGAAATTCTGATTGTAATAGTGTTTAAATAACTAAAAGGGGTCTATAGTTCTCGTTATTCATGAACACATTTATTTATTCATTAACAAGAAAATAATTGGATACCAGATGACTTCTGTGAGCAACAATCGAGCAGTGACAGTAATTTAAACTGGACGAAAATGAACTAAAGTCTTGATTTACAGCTTGATGCTGCCACTATTTCAACACACATGCTTAGACAGTCCCAGCTTCTGCATTAGTGTGACCACAACTTCTATCATCGGCCGACCGTAGAGGCCACTGCTAGACATCTTGTGAACAGGAAAATATACAGTAGTTTTATGATTAAGTATGCCTGTGTCTACATACAATACATGCATATATGGGCATCCCATATAAAAATGTGAAAATGGATAATCATGCAAATAGAACTTTTCACATTCCGTAAGAAGGCCCCAATGTAACACAAAACGTTTACACATCTTCCCATGCTAGGTTGTGAGAGTCACAGAGACAGTTAAGGTGCTCACCTCAGTGATGTCTGTCCATTAGAAAGGTTAACTTGAAAAGAGCAAGTTCAAGCAACAACCAGAGAGGTGAGTTAGGAAGGATGCAGGCAGTACCAGCGGTAAACATTAACCCTCAGAATATTGTTAGTAGTTGGAAGAGGAAAACAGGAAAATAATCGCGTCCAAAACACACACAGGCATGCAATTACATTGTCCTTGTCAGGTGACACTGATCATTGGGTGTGCTCATCCTTTGAAATGCAGTCAATCAAACTCCAAAGTGAAAAAAACAATCAAAACAATTCATTTTTTGAGAAGAGATTTGTTTGGGGTTGTATTATGGGATGTTACGCAGGTCATCGCTACCCACCATAGAGTTCTCGGTCTTGATGGATTTGACTTGTAGACAGTCTTCCACTCCTCTAGAGGTGCTGTTTGCCTCCACCCTCCCGTCTGCGATCTTGGAATTGGCTCCGTTCTCCCCGTCGCCTCTGGGCGGCTGTGGCCTCGGAGGTGCATCGCTTCGTTGTTTCTTGGTGACATGGGCATCGGGTCCGTGGACTGTCTTGACGTGCTTCCTGAGAGAGCTGGGGTCCGTGTAGCGCTTGGTGCAGCCCGGGATCTTACACACGTATGGTTTCTGCCAAAAATTAACATTATACATAATTTGTACTACACATCACTAAACAGACTGTGGGTCAAAATGCACGACATCCAGGTGAGTAAACAAACCTCATTGGAGTGTGTGCGGTTCTGGTGCTTGGCCCGGTCCGAGGCGTTGGAGAAGGCCTTATTGCACCCTTCGTGTTCACACACATACGGCTTCTCCCCCGTGTGAGACCTGAGGTGGGTCTTAAGGTTCTCCAGGCGGGAGTAAGCTTTGGCGCAGCCCTCAAACTGCAGAGAGAGGAAGACAGACGGACAGACAGTGAGACGGGATGCCTGAGCTTCTGTGCTGTTTGATGCAGCTTGGCTGGAGAATACTAATAAAAATGCTCTGTGCGGTTACATTTTTAAATGTAATCTACTCTCGGCCTTCTGCCTAAAGTGGGATGCCACACAAAGACAAAGCAGAGCGACAATGTGGTAAAAAGGGCAATTATGTGAAATATCTAAAGTGAGTGTGAAGGGCGGTAGAGCTCTTTGACTGGTGTGCTTTGTTGAGACAAAGAGAAGTCTGTGTTTAGCCTTTGTGTTCACTTGTGCTGCACAAGCTATAATTTGGTATTCATTCTGAGCAGTCATTGTGAACATAATTGGCTTTGAAATTAAAAGGGAATCAAACTTGACTAGCTCAGAAATCGGATCTAAAAGTCAGAAGATTCTCCATTAAGAACTCAAGGGGAGTTAAAGTGTTGGGTGGAGATGCACGGGGGATTCGCACCGAGAATACACAGCCTGGTCTTATTAAGAACCCACGGCCCCCTGCTTGTCTGCAGATTTTAATTACACACCCACGCTGTCAATCAGCTTTCTTCACTCTCTCCTTCACAAGTCATCTGTTTTAATGCATTCACAAGAGCAAGCTTTGAAGCTAAGCAAACATGCCCCCGATGTGATCTTCACACAGCAAATGAAGGCTTCAATAAAACCCTCATGATTTTAAAAAGTATCACTCGCTCTAAGCACAAGGAAGTTCCAATGGAAATGTTCTTTGGTCAAAGCGAAGGGTTGAAGCGCAGAGACCAGTGAGTGAGCGGTTATTCTCTCCCAGTCAACCAGACAGTAAATCCTGAAATGCATGGGTGTTTCTTTGAACAAATCCAGCAACTCAGGTTTGGATGACGCAGAACTTTTAAAAACACAATCATATCACAGGAAAAGAATTTGTTTACAAAATAACCCTAAAGATGTCACCAGGGTATGTCCACCTGGGCTCGGAGACAAAAGCCTGCATTATGAATCGGGGGTGTGGAGACGTTTAGCTAGGAAGGTTCTGTCAAAAGAGCCATTGTTTGCATGTAGGAGATTTCCTTTTAAACAGCCATAACACATTGGTAGAGATTGCCTTTGGATACAGCAGCCAATCAGGGAGTCCGATGGGCAGTAAGGTAACCAGCTAGCTTTGCAGGTATAAGAAGTACTCACGGTGCATTTATGCGGCTTCTCCCCCGTGTGACGCCTCATGTGGACCACCAGCATGTACTGAGCCTTGAAGGGCTTCTGCTCCCGTGAACACTCCTCCCAGCGGCACACAAACTCCTTCTTCTCCCCGTGGATGTGATCATTGTTGATGTGCTGAGGAGACAATTTGAATTCAAGTAAATAATTGCACTGTAGCGTCCACCAGGGTATGCAGGCGTTAAGACAACGGGGTGTGTGAGCCTGTGTGCGTATTCATTGAAAAGGGTCAGCAAATTCTTGTCTTTTTCCCACCAGAAGACACACACACACACACACACACACACAAACACACACACACACGCGGTGATGATGCCATCCATTATGGCTGACAGTTATTATGCATCTGTCAACAGGAAACAAAAACTATAAAAGCTTGTTTTGTTTTTTCAGGCTGTGTGTGTGTGTGTGTGTGTGTGAGGGGGGGACGGGGGGGACTTCCTTGCATCGCGGTGTAAGTGATCAGGAAGAGGCTAACCGAATTTGTCTTTTTATCCTCCATTCTTCTTCCTTTTATTGGATCAGGAAGTCGGTGAGGGACAGACACAAAGTTTCCTGTGCAAACTTAAAATGTGCGTTTTTGCGAGTGAAGTAGCTGCAGGTAAATTACATTGCTAACACAACTGAAATCTGTTTTAAACACAAAATAATAATAATTTGCACCGCTGGAGAAAGAGGCAGTCAGTTACTCCTCCCCCAATGTGTCGACCTGCAGTTATCTGAATCATTCTTTCATCCAACTCAAACGACTTACATTGCAGACAAATCATTATTGCACACATATACAGACGGCTGTGAACAGATGCACTTCCAACCCTTCATCCTGTGCACCACATGCAAATATCCTCACGCCCAGAGGAAACACTTGATTTCCTGTCTGTGACCACTTCTCCACCAGTGCAAAAGTGCATCGTCAGCGATTCTACTGGGATCTATTTTAGGTGAAGGAGGAGTGGAAGCAGGCGGAGGTCTCTATTTCCAGGTGACTGCTGTAAATCTGTCATTTAGGGGCTCTTGACAGAAATACTTTGGTTTTTTGTGCTGATGTTAACCTTGTGTGAGCCCCTCGGTGTGCTCAGGGAAATGCTGTGAGGATTTGTTGCAGAACAAAATAGCCATTTCAAACCTGGGATTCTCTCTTTTTGTAGGTTGATAGATAGCAGAGGCCTAAAAAAAAAAAAGACAAACATTGTCCTGTGCGAATTTAAAAATATGCTGGCCTCATTGTCCAAGTTCACACCAGCAGTCCAGCTCCCGAATCCTGGAAAGCTCTCAGAGTTTGTGGCTCGGCAGCTGGGGTTTTGGCAAAAGTTCTTCGAGTTAACTCGCTGACTCGTTGCGGCCAACGGCAACCTGTCCCTCACAACCCCCCATCTGCCCGTGGGTTAGCGGACCTGACACATGCCCGCCGCTGTGACGGGACTGGAAAACAGGGGGAGCGTGAGGTTCCATAACCTCCAGAGCTTCTGGCATGACGATGGATTTACGGCCGGCCCTCTGGGCTTCGGGGCTGGGGTGGGGGGTCAGGGGGTTGCTAGCAGTCTTAGGTTAGGGGTCAGGGGTCAGGGGGCTAAAGGGTTGGTGGCTGGGACGTGGGGGCACAGCTGCAGGGCTCGGGCTACAATGTGGCGAGAGCCGGCAGGCCTTATTAACGGTGCGCGTGGCAACCCAACAGGAAGGGATCCGTTACAGCCCGGCGTTCGGACCGGATTCAATCGGCATGGTTTGAACCAGGAGGAGGACAGTTGTTTGTTTGAACTTTTCACTTTTCACACAAACAAAATGTGGTTGTTCTGATGGCACAATTTGGAAGTTGCTACTGAACTAATAATGTTGACGATGGCACAAAACATGTGTTCTGAAAGACTTCAAAGGGTGGAGACAAAACAGAGCGGGAAAGTCCTTCAAAGCACTCACATGAACGAGCTGGTCCTGGGTGTCGTACTCCTTGCTACAGCCCTCCCAGTGGCAGTCGGTCACGTATATGGCCTCAGGCTCCTGTTTGCACTCATCTTTATCCAGATCCTCACTCAGGTCCAAGATCCCCCCACAGTGGTCCTGAAGAAAGCGCACAGCATTGTGTCAGAGAGGCAGCACAGACGTGTGCACCCAGCAACCCTTAAAAAAACGACTAAAATAAACAAAGTAAAGACACAGTCTGACCTGAAGCAGTGTTCAATTTGTTACAGAAGCATTCTCTTCTTTGCATCTTTCTTATCTTATCTGGCACTTGATCCTAATGAGTTGTTGCCTGATGTGTCTCAATGTGGGACAACACCTTTTGTCATTGATTAAAGTGGCTTTCTTATGCACTAGCTATAATCAATGAGAGCCAAAATGCAGTGAAAGGGGTGTCTATGCCTGAAGCTGTGCTAGAGATAACTAAGGTGCCAAAAAAAGATCTATGCATATTAAGTAAATGTTCAGGAAAAAGAAATTGGATCCTGGTTTGGAATGTGAAAGCTGGAAAAGTGACATTGCATTCTAAGATACATAACCACTGTTATTTGATTCTCCTACCTGAGAGGATGGGGAGATAGGCAGTGGACCCTCTGCCTCCGTCTTAACCTTTGACCTCTTGGTGCTCAATGGGTTCACTGTGCTACTCACTGCTGGGTCTCCACTGGCATTCTGAAGGCCGGATAAGGGAAACAGGGTTGAAGCGGCACAACTTCAGGAGACACGCTTGACAACCGTAAAAACAACCCACGACGCAACAAATAATTTATTCACCATCACAGAAAATTGTAACATTCTTCTTGTTCTATCCATTAGCCCTCTAACTCATTCTCCTATTCATTTGACCATCCATCACTGAATGAAATCGAATGGAATCCACAGTCACCAGTAGCAGATGGGATTCCGATACGAGTCAAGGAGATACCCTGACATTTTTTGGCAAAGAGATGTGGGGAGTCGTTGTTGCGCCAGGCACAACTACCATAAGTCAGACTGGGACCTGCCGCAGAGACTAAACAGTTCAGACTGCTTTAGGATTGCCAAAGCCACATGGAAATATGAAAGAAGAGGAGTTATTGCCGTCGGTACGGAGGGGGAAGGTGACAGGGTCGACGATAGTGGGGGAGAGCTTTGATCTGCCAATGGATTTAAGACGACAACACACAAGGCCTGTTAAAACTCTAATGGAGACAAAAAGAGAGGGAAGAACGTAAAGCAGCTGATCAATGATTGTGTGTGCGTGGGTGTGTATATTAAGTTTCATTTGAGCGGGTCCAATACAAGAGGGGGGGTCTCCTAATCCCACCCATATGCTCAAGTGCAGTTTGGCATTTCTAGGGGCCTCCATGATTCATTTAGTTAGTCGAATACCAAGAGAAAAATATGGTTCCAATCACTGCTGAAATGATACAGCCGAATGTGTGCGTTGTGCTCGTGTGCTGGTTCGTTTGTGCATTTGTGTGTGTTAGTACGCAATAAGGTGCAAACATGCTAAACGTGTGTTTATTCATGACGAGTTGTACATTTACAGCCTTCATCCTCAGTTTGGAACATTGACCATGTTGACCAATATGAAATTGGCTATCAGTTGATCATTTAAAATCAAGTTTAAGGCTCCTTTCCATCTGAAGGGCTTTGCACATGTGCAATACCGATCAGGCACACTAGCAAAAATGTCAGCACTTTGGCACTGGAAAATCAAACCATTAAAACACAGCTGTGTTTTTGACACTGTCGATTCTTAAGTTTGGGTATCGGCATCAGCAAGCAAACAATCGTATAGGAACATCCGCACGACCAATCCCCACCTTACAGGTGTTGACACACTAATCAGAAATCTGATGTAGTACATGGAAACCTCAATCTGGTTTACACATTCATATGAATGGGATTTAAGAAAGAATTTAGAATGTAGATAAACCCGTTAATCTTTGAACTATTGGTATACAAGTGTAAGACAAAAAGGTACAAGGTATCCCATTCCTACCTGGTTTGCTTCAGAGCTGGAGGTGTTGTGGGAGGTGGTCATAGGTGAAGCAGCGAGAGGGTGTTGGCGAGCAGAGAAAGAGGAAGGCGATGGATGAATGAGAGGAGGTGTGTGGCCAAAGGCGTTGAGGCTTCTCTGATGGGACAGCAGCTGCTGGTACGCCACAGGGTTGATGGGATGAGGGAAGCTGAACGACGGACTGAGCAAGTGCAAAAGAGAAAGGAACTCTGGTAAATATGATGACTGTCTAACGGCCTATAGGACTAAATGCAAACAGGATTCAGATTACCAGCCAGCAGCATGCTGACTGGATGCATGTAGTATTGGCCTTACAGTAGGATACAAATAGGGTCGAACAATGAAAAGTTTAACTTGTTAAAATACTTTGAATTAGGCATATAACTAAATAATAACACGTGTGTTATTTGTCTAATTACCTGATCCCTCCGACTGAAAGGTGCCCGTACGAGCTGCTGGCGGCCGAGCTGGAGCGCGAGTTGTTGATGTAGGCCACCAGGGAGTTGGGTGAGGTGCGGATCATGGTCTGCAGGTCAATGCTCGCATCTGACAACGGCGAGATGGACAGCGCCCTCTTCCTGCTCAGCCGGGGGGTCAGCCGGGGGCTGGAGAAACGTGAAACTGGAAACAGACGCAGGGAGACACAACGAAGACGATGTCAACCATCTCGGCATTGCTCCCTCAATGGGTGACCTCAAAGCTGGATAGCCAACGGCTTCATTTGCGCACAGCCGGCAGATTGGAAAACGCTGTTTAACTTCCTCAAACTTCCACGAAACCTCTGGCTGTCCACAGCAGAGAGCAGCAGCTCCCCTGGACCGTGTGAGAAGACACATTCGGCCCCCGAGCATTGCAGTAGAGGTCACAGCCATGCCGAACCACTCTATCGCCTGCATCTCTCTCACACACACACACGCAGTGTTTAACATTCACGTCCTCTTATGCATAATGAATCGGCCCCAATCATTCTCTGTAATTGCCGTGATAGCGATCTCTTTCAAACCGCTGTACTTGAGCAAGTTAAATGGAGGCGATTTAAACAAATTGATCTAGGAATACCATTAAAAAGAAAAAGAACAAGGCGGACTCACAAAGGGTAGCGTTCACAGCCTTCCGGAAGGCCTGGCTGGTGCACGACTTTTCTCACAGAAAAAAAGCACCAGAAAACGGCTACTTTCCCATGGACTGAGAAAGAAAGCTACCTTTTTAATTCTACCGATACTCCATCATTTGTGTATATTTATTTATTTTGCAGTTGTGGGCAATACGTCTCTCTGACTCCCACAGAAACAGTGACAGATCACTTGCTAGAGACCAACAGGTGCTGCTTTAAAAGGGGGGGGGGGGGGGGGGGGGGGGGGGCAGAGAGCAGGGCGGCCTTTGTGTGCACGTGTAATTAGGTCTTACAGCAGACATCATCAGAGGCGCGAGAGGCAGGAAACTCATAATGGGCCCATCAGAACCCATCTACGCACACATTCGCTGCATGTTGGCTGCTGTCAGTGTGGAGCCCACACCCCGGCTCTTAGCTGGTGGAACTCACAAAGCCTCCAGCGAAATGAGTCCAGGCACCGCCATAATCAGCGCGCCAGACCTGCACCCATAAACCAGTACGCTCCTTCCAAAACCATTATGTTTGGAGGTGGCGAGTCGTAAAGCAGAGGCACATGCACTTAGTTAAAAAGCCCCCCGAGACGATAGACAGTAGTTTGGGGTGAAAAAAGTAAAGGAAATAAAATGGTGGAGATGATGATAGAGACGTGTATGAAAGAGTTGGCAAAAACAACAAACGATCCTCTGGAATGTGCTTCTTTAGGGGTAATAAATAAACGTCACCTTTGGTTAGCTACACAGAGGAGTAAAAAAGAGAGATGGGGGGGCATAAAAAAACTCAGACGATCCTCCACCCGGACCCCTTATGAATGCCGACTGTCTCGCCAACAGCTTTAATGGGAGATATGTGTATTAATATTCCCCCTCTATAATGCAGGAAACAGGCCTCGCCGCCCGGTGGCTTGGCAGCCTGGCGCCAGCCTCGCGCTTCTGGGCACGGCGCCCAAAACGCCGCCCTGCGCCTCGGCCGGCAAAACCACCCCCTCAATCTGTACCTGCGCCTCTGCTCGGGAGGAATCTAGAAGAACGCCTGCAACGTCCGACCTTCTAAACCTCGGGCGCAAACAGGCTAGTTTGGTTGCTGCGTTGTTGTTACTGGTTGAACTTACTTTAGCAAATATGGAAACAAATGTGCGCACACAACTCTCAGCACTCGGTGAAGGAGTGTTTTATAGGTGGCGGTTATAATTGAAAGGGTGAGCAGGTTCCGGCAGGGAGTGAGAAAACAGATGTTGCACAGGCCATGGCGGCGCGGCAGTATGTGGTACCATGCCATGTGTGTGTGTGTGTGTGTGTGACTGCATCATGGGCTGGTTGTAATTAGGGGATCTGGATTTGTGTAGAAGGTCATAATTACAGGCGCTCCAGTGCACATTGATATAGCTGAGTAAAAAAGAAAAAAAAAAGTATATATATACACACAGTATATGATGATGTGAAGAGACTGTGATAAGAATGATTTGAAGCATCTGCAGAAGGCGTTCCAGCTGAAACAGTGTGAGCTGGTGTCGCTGCGCTCGCTAACGTTGCTGCACTGGGACCAGTGTTACCAGGCTCACTGGAAGAGATCAGAGGGTCGGATCGCTGGTTCGATCCCTGGCTTCACTTGTGTCTGTCCTTGGGCAAGACAACTAACCCAAATAGCCCCCTTGGCCATGACTACAGTGTGTGAATGTCAGCGACTGATGGGCGGGTGGCTCTGGTAGCTCCAGTCATGTAGTATGAATGGGTGTGAATGGGTGAATGATGACATGAAGTGAAAAAGCGCTTTGAGTGGTCGGATTACTTATGCAGTGTTGCGTGGTTGTAGGAAAGCAACAATCCAACTTATCAAGTTCAGATACCGATAGAGATGCCTAGTCTTTGGGTACCACACACAGTAGGTATTAATGTGCTCCATTGGTATTATATGTATCGTCATAAGAAATAGGATTTAGAATTCAACTGCTAAAATTTTGAATCCAGAAAATCTGAGTGTATAATTGATATGAACATTGAATGAATTAATATTTCGTCACAGGACTCACTAGTTTCAGACACCATCGTATCTGGACTTAGACCAATAGATATGGGTGCACATTATTCAAATCTTTATATTATGTTATTCTTAAATAAATTCCTTCATTTGACTTGAAATTATGGTTTTAAAATATACATATTATTTTGAAAACTGAGAATAAATACTGTTGAGATATTAACCAATCCAACTTTTCAGTACATGATTTGATAGTTTGACTCAGTACAGACTTCAATTCAACTGCTATGCTACGACAATGTACATGGGAGTAAGTCATAGCCCACCCCTTCAGTGCAGCTTGAGTCCATGCCAGCAGGGCCCCCGGCCTCCACGTCTGTAGCCATGTGGCCCCACGTGACCCCCACGGGCTTGTCGGAGTGAAAAATGTTTATTTACCCTGCTAAATCTCATTAATACTAACATTGTGATTTTATTAGTGCTGAATCCTCTATGAGCCCCCAGTGTCCAGCCCAAAGCCGACGTTGTGTTTGCCAGCGTGTTTAAACACACACTTCCAGCCATGTGCTCATGAACCAACATATAGTTAAGTGCTTGTGTATGCAGTCGCCCCCACCACACCCCCACCACCACCACACCAGTACACAAACCTATCTCCCTCGCTCGCGCTGCTGCATCGACACTAAAGCCTTTTTCCTCGGGATGGTATACACGTTTACTTTGGCTGCTGCTTTTGTCGTGGGAGCTTCTGCGTTTTCCCGCAAGCGGCTCGGGTATTTCTCTGCCCACCCACCCCTTACATACCCCCTCATACACAAACAGCCTTCTATGTGCCTGCAATGTGAAGTAGCATCCTTTAAACTCTGCTAACCGTGGTTCAATGTGAATAAGGCCGTGTTCCTCAACAGCCCAGCTCAGTTCTAGGTGGAGATATCTCTGAGAGAAACATATGGCATCTATGAAAAAGTCATTTCTCCTCATAGGGGAACTAGGCCCATTCATTTATTTCTGTATCCAGAACCTCTCTCCAAAAGCCCCAAAACGACTAAGTATGATTGATCAGGCAACAACGTGTCTATTAGCTAAGTCATTACACTTTTTAAATAGGAATGTTCTTCCAGTCCAAGCTCATGCACGTGTAAATTCAAGAAGATTTAAACCAACACCAAATACTTGATTTCATGATTTTCTTGTGTTTTTGTTGTTTCAGTCCAGTTTGCTTAACTCAAACTCCTTGTCCGATAAGAACAGGAAATGATTAATGGGTGAAGCACACCGCAGACTGCAGCGTTTCAGAGGCAGCTAAGCGTTGCAGCGAGGCCCTCGCAGACGCCAGTGACGCCATGTTTGTCCATTCTGTGGGAGGAAAAGCTGACAGGCGGCGTATGGATGTTGAAACAGTGAGACTGCAATCAAACAAGCACTCTGCTGCGGAGGTTTGTGTTTTAACTGGGAACATGAAAAGAATTCCCCAAACGTCTGTGGCGCTCTGCAGTTGTGGCATTTCAAACAACATCTTCCTCATATAACGGAGAGGAGAGCAATTCCTCTGTAAGTGTCTGACTTACAGAGGAATTGCCCAAGAGCAAATCCTAAAAGTTATCAAGTGGGACCTGTAGCACTGACCCCCCCCCCCCACACACACACACACCATCACACTTTTCCACAAGCACACTTCAACACAGCAGCACTCAGTGTTTCAGGGCTCAACCATGAGTTTTGCGATTCACTTATCCAGAGGATAAACAGGTGGAGGAGGGGGGGGGGGGGGGGGGGGGGGGACACTACTATGGGGTCCCCGGGGGCCCCCCGTTTTTTGGGGGGGGCCGGCAAAAATATTAAAGGAAAAAAAGGTGTTATAATAGGGGTTAATACCCCCCACCTTCCCAAACCACGGTTGAGAGAGGGAGGCAGTATGTGCACACTGCGCATAGCCCCCCCCCCACTCTGGCAGTAAATGAGGCTTTAGATTCAGGCCACGGCTGCCCGCGATGACCATTAGCTGGTCGTCTTGGTCAATAAGGGCCTTGTGTCTCGAGGCCGCAATGGAAGAGCCTGCAGGCTGGCAGAGTGGCAGGAACCGGACCACGTGACTCCCAGCGCGCTCCGACACTAAATGAAAGCTGGCGGGACGGCGGCAGCGAGTGTGGACGCTGCGGCTATTTGAGCAAACAGCCTCGCCAAACCAAGCGAGAGCGAGGCAGGACAGCGGCGGTGGCTGAGGTGGTTGGAGGTAGCGAAGGAAAAACGTGGAGGAGGAGGACAGAGAGGTGGTCTACAGTTTCGGCAAGGCCCCTAATGCTTCCTTTTCAACACCACTTTCACTGTTGTTTTAAAGAGGAATCGCCAAGCAGCCCCACGGCTGAATCACCTCCTTCCCCTCATCATCGTGATTTCCTACCCGTGTGTGAGGGGCAGATTTATTTTGTCTTTCTCTGGGTGGGTGGTTGGACGGGATGAAAGAAAGAGCGAGGGGCTCCTGGAACCAAGTGGAGTATTTGATGATCAGGAAACGAAAGGGGCCGACTTTCACGGACAGATTTCCACTCTGTGGGCGCTCTGTTCTCTATTCATAAGGGCTGAAGGTTTCTTGGATGCGTTTCGCTGCTGAGATCAAACGCCTGTTCTGGTGCCTGACCGTCATCTTGATAGAGGGCCGGGGTTCTGCGCGAACAGGCGGGCCTCTGTGAGCTCGTGTGCACGTGACCGTCGGCTCGCCGGTTTTGCCTGGCTGTTGGATTTGTGTGGGTATCAGCGCTAAACGTCCTCATCCCTGTTGTCCAGTGGACAGCCGTGTAGCCTACGAGGTTCATCGGTCTTAACCCCCGGGAAGAAGCAAAAGGTCTCAGAGCAACACTCGTCTGCCTCACACAGTCAGAATCTCCTCCCGCTGTTGTTTTGGAGGATTGTTACTCAGTAAAGTCCCACCTGAAACCTCATCAGAACGAGAGACTCTTAGCGAACACGTGTTTTTACGAGCTCCTGGCCTTTGGGCTTTCAGTGTGTGTGCACCCTCAACTCACAACCAGCGGACCCCATGCTACGTATAAGTCCAAAGAGCTTCACTGGCTTTGATGTGGTGAAGTCTTCCATGAAAAAGCCTCCAGAGGGAGAATGAGAGGATGGTATCAACATGCCTGGTGCTGAGAACAAAGGGCAACATGGCTGTTAAGTCTGGCTTTTACTCTTGTACCAGGGATGAAAGACACATGCTCTAGTATTACCGGGGTGGCCAATAATTACTCATTTTTGACATGGAATCATCAAACTGACATGTCATGTCGGGGATTCAGGAAGCTTTTCAGTACAGGTTTATACGATAGCGGCATTTCTGTATTTGCTAAAAGATCTCTTGAACTTTCTGTCCATCCTCCCTCCCTCCCTTTTGTGATGTTAAAAATCATCAGTTCATGAAGGTGGATAACGTCAGGTGTAGCTATTTAATGTTGACAGAGTAAACAGCTTAACACAGGCCAACACGAAGCTGCTTATGAGCAGTTCAGCCATCTGAAAGCCACTGCCTGTTCTCCAAAATGGTTAAGTAGAAGGAGAAGAACCCCTGTTTGTTGAGTTGGGCTGTGGGTTTTTGCATTTCAACATGACCATCAGCAGTGGAGCAGTGCCCCTCGACAATGGATGGATGGAAGTTATGCAAGTCAATGGTATGGCAATGAGAGCATTTGTCTGTATATTAAATTATAAGTTAAATTATTAAGGTCATTTTATGCCAAATCATTACATCTGTTTTTGGACAAACCAACCTTTTCACACACTTATTACAATGTCAACCATGACGTTGTAAAGTTAAACATATTTTACTATGTTACGTAATTTGGGGTTTATAAACAAAATATATTAATACATTTGAAAGGATTCACAAGTAGATGAATAAGATTTGTAACTAGATCAAGATACTATAAGATGTAGCTACAATAGTTTTATATTGTATTATTGTTTTTATTATATTGGCTCTTGATGCATAGGACGTAATTCTCATTTTATAAATAGCTAAATGCTGATACACTGGACTACATCCATTAATTGCTACGGTGCAGTAAAATATTCTAAATTGTATTTCTGTCAAAAGGTATCGCGTCACAAGCTGTCAGTTTATCCTCACCGTCCATGGGGCTGATGTACTCTGGCAGATGAGCAGCCGCAGCCGCCGCCGCTGCCGCTGCCGCACTGCTCTGTATGAGCAGGTCCCCGTAGGGGCTTCGCTGGCTGGCACTGGCCATCAGGTGGTAGTAGTCTGTGGGGTTGGCCCCTGGTGGTGGAGGAGGGAGATTAAAGAGGGCGCGTTCTTTCAGGTGTTCGTGGGTCACTGCAGCAGACATGGGAGGAATAAAAAAAAAAAAGGGTTATTATTTTTCTGCTTCTTAATTTCCCCTCCCCCGCGAATAGACAGTTTCTGCATGTGTTACATTTGAAAAAATCATCATCTCAGAAAATGGATTTGACCGTATTAAGAAAAAACAACAAAGAAAATGGGATTCCAATATTTTAAGTTCTGGTAGGCATTTCTAGCTGCAGTGCTCATTTTGGAAGAAATTGAGCAAATTTTGTAATTTCAGCGAAACAAAGACAAGAACAGAAAAAGGCCGTTGGAAGAACTCAACTGAGGAGACAAAGGATCTGCTTTCCAGATCTGAGGGTTGGGGGCATGCCGCGGGGCATGAGTCTTTTGATAAAAGTGTGTGGTGTCTTGGAGCCTCGCCGGGCCAAGGGAAGATATCTCCAGGGAGTGAGGGAAGCAGAGGGAGAGATGGAGCGGGGCAGAGAGGGGGGCCACCGAGGGAAGGAGTATCACATTCCTGCACTTCTCCGGTCTTGCATTAGCAGTAAGTTGGACGGACTGAGGTCGTGCCCTGCAGGTGCACACACACCCACGCTCACAATGCCCAGGAGAACCTTAATGACGGAATGGTCAAAGGTAATATTGACGTCAGCTGTATTAACACCTGCTCCTAGTAAAGCTTTAAAAGGAACTATAAATGTGAGACATGGATGGGCCTGCATTTTTCTTACATCATACTGTGCCTGTATCCCCCTTTCTTCCAATCCACCCCCCCACAGAAGGGTATAGAAGAGACGGGGGGGGGGTTCCACCAGCATGAAAATGAATTTGCATGCTGGTGGAAACAGGGAGATGTGGGGGTTGGGATCACTGGGGGGGAGCAGAGTGATATATTGGGGAGCACAACCTCAGCCTCCCCCAGCCCGTTGACATAAAAGCATGCATACAAATCAAAAAAGGTCTGGATCCATCTAAAGCTATTTGGCCATGGCTGTGCTAACAAGGCAGGACCTGAAATGACCGGGACATTTACCTCGGGTGTCTCTCTGGCTGCCAGATCACGTTGCCAACTTAGCAGAGAAGCATTTCAAGTCCATGCGTGACAACTCTTACGGACACTTTCCAAATCAAACCAAAGTAACACCGGTAAAGTTACCACATTTGTGTGAATTCTCGCTTTTGTTCAGTCATTAACTACCCGAAGTATAAGACAGTTTAAACTGTGGGAGAAGTACATTTACATTTGGAGTTAATCGGTAAGGTTACACTTAACTGCAATGATGCTTTGACCCATATGCCAACCAGTGACAATGCTAACAAGCTGGTGTTGGGCAGGTAGGATATTTACCATCATCACAGATGGGTCACCATTAGTTCTTTTTCAGGTGTATTGGTCAATTCAATTGATTAAAAAAGATTTATGTGGTCAGATATCTTTTCTAACAGTTTGAGCTTCCGTGGTCATTTATGATAATGCTAGGTGAAGTGTTTAGTTATCAGGTATTGGTCAATTCAAATATGATGAAATGAATTGAATATAATAAGCAATGTAATGACAGTAATGACACCTTAACATTAACAATCATTACTGCACCTCTGCTTGGTTCAAAAAAGCTTGCATGTACCTTAATTTATCACTGGTTTTGGGCTCCGCCATGGGAGCAAGCCAGTGACTCAAATCAAGCACAGCAACCCGTGTAGTGACACCCATTGAGCTAAATGCCCACACACTCATCCTCTACAGGGGAACCCTGGTGCCACTTAACCTGTACCTCATTGTTTGTGTCAATAATCGCTGATGTCTCTCATTCGGCATAAAAATATTTAGATTTCGCAATGGGACAGATGTGTGGACTGGTTACAGTGGGACAGATGGTCTGAGCGGACTGGTTAGAGTGTGATAATATTGGAGAGTGTATAAGGTGCAAGATAATCTGCTGTGCAAACTAAAGTGTGCATGCAGTGAGCTGGCTCCAAGCAGAAACCTCAGGTTTATTGTGGACAGGATACATCAATTCTGAACCCGGTCAACTCTAATTCCTCCTATTTAGAGTTAACTGGTCAAAGTGGCAGCAGAACAAATGTGAACCATTTTCCACATCACTTGCAGGTCTTTATTCATATTGTGTTAATTGCATACGTCATAAGAACACTGAATGTAGCTCGCAAATATAAGGTGATGATTGCAACCTAACAGGTATGACAGCAATTATGGATGCCACCTTTGTGACTGGGAGTCATCCCATTTGTTTGTGTGTATGAAGTCTTCCGTAGTAGGTGGTGTGAATGTGATAAAGCTAAAGGAATAAGGAGTACTTTGTGTTCCTCATGTGTGATGCTGATGTTCAAGAGGTGTTTAGTGGTCTAGGTAGCAGTACAACGGTGCTTTTCCCCTGTGCTACTAGCAACATATAATTTCGATATCAGATCAATATAGTAATATCTTGGTGGTACCATGAGTAAACATTACCTTCAGCAGGGCTCAGTCCCCGGGCCGCCGAGATCATGGAGAGGGTGGGGCTCCCGTGTACCGAGCGAAGGTAGTGCTCCATGTGGGGGCTGACGTAATGATGTGGAGGGCTGAACGGGGACTCACCCGTCCCGGGCGCCACGTGGGGAGACAGACGGATCAGGGAAATGTCTGAGATGACTGGACTGCCTGTCAATCCTGGAGGTCTGCAAAGACAAATTCAAAATCAGACAAATGGAAATAAATGATGACAGAAAAAAGGTGTGATGGAAGAGGAGGGGTCGTACATAACATGTCACATACAAAAAGCACATAGGGTAGGAGGTACCTCCGGTACTAATGGGAGTACTGTGCTCAGCTATCATTGTGAGTGATCTTCATTGGTATGTTCATAGACAAGCCTTGACTTCTGCTTTTCCACCAAAGTGTCTGCAGTCTCAATCCACTTAGACCCTTTTCCCATCCCATTCCCACAGCTAATACATAATAAGCCCCTCTTGTTCGCCTTCTTCTATTAAGCCCTTAAGCAACAGACAAGTCGAGACCAAAGGCCCCCAGGAAGCGTGTTCTTTATCTTTGTGTGGGAGCCTACAGGGCCCCTTACATCAGCTACTACATAGTGCATGATAAGAGAGTGCAACCTCAAGTAGCTGCCAATAGCTCCCTTTAGCAAGAAAAGTCTGAAGGTGTCTGACAGCGTGTCGGTCACGTCAGGCTATACAACATCTCCGGCAGGTAATTGGCAGCTCTGCTTGCAGAAACAACAGTGGGGGTAGTTCTCAACACCCCCGAGGGGTTGAAGTGTAGGTACAAATGTTGGGCAGCCTTTGGCAGTGGCACAACCCTTTGAAGGGGCATTACGTCTAAACCAGTGTGCTTCAGCTCTCATAAGAGGCCCGCCACTCCACCAGTGTGTGTTAGGAACACCTGGTAGAAATCCAGGTGTTATCCCGAAGACTATTGAGCTGGGGGAAGGGTGACTAATAGGTGAAAGGCCTTGATGACTGGTTTCCTTACTGGTTATCGGCACTGTTGCATGTCATGATTACTTCTCCCCACACAAGCTAATGTCCTCGTTAGAAAAGAAAGACACATAAGTATTTTTAATTCTGATGAAATAAGTAAGTAATCAGTCAATTTATCTGAAGCCAAAAGAAGAAGAAAATAAAATGCTTGAGGGTATAATTACATTGTAAAGAGTCTTTGGGTACCCAGAAAAGCACTATAAAAATGTAATTATTATTATTGCAGTTGAAGTATAAGACACTTCAACTGCAGGGGGTGGAAAGGGACACGGCATCGGTCTCACTCTGAAGCTTAGTGCCACTGACCAAGTGGAGCAGGAGCCATTCATTCGTAGAAAGTTTGACCACAATGACTCATACAACAATGAAATGAATTCAAAGCGGACCAGCTCGTTATACTTCAAGAATGTCTTGGCATCAAAACTTGGATGACCGGCAACTTCCTGATGCTAAACTCAGAAAAAACAGAAGTTATCCTGATAGGCCCAGAGCGCCTTCGAAGCCAGCTGTCACGTGATACAGTTTTTATGGATGGAATTGCTCTGGTACCCAGCAGCACCGTCAGGAATCTGGGAGTTCTCTTTGACCAGGATATGACCTTCAACTCGCATATAAAGAAGACTTCAAGGACCTCCTATTTTCATCTACGTAACATATCAAAAATCAGGCACGTTCTCAAGTGATGCAGAAAAATTAATTTATGCGTTTGTCACTTCCAGACTGGACTTCTGTAATTCTTTGTTATCAGGCTGCTCTTGTAAATCTCTTAAGCCTCTCCAGTTGATTCAGAATGCTGCAGCACGTGTATTAACAAGAACTAAGAAAAGGGATCATATCACTCCTGTATTAACTTCTCTGCACTGGCTCCCTGTTAAATCAAGAATAGATTTTAAGGTACTTCTCCTCACCTACAAGGCACTTGCTGGTGAGGCACCGTCGTATCTTAAAGAGCTTGTAACACCTTATTGCCCTACAAAGAAGCTGCGCTCCATAGATGCTGGGTTACTTGTTGTTCCTATGGTTTTAAAAAGTAGGCTGGGGGCCAGAGCCTTCAGTTATCAAGCTCCTCTTTTGTGGAACCAGGTTCCACTTTCAGTCCGGGGGGCAGATTCGGTCAGCTCTTTTAAAGTAAAACTTAAAACTTTCCTCTTTGATTCTGCCTATAGTTAGGGCTGGCTCAGGTTAGTCCGGACCAGCCCTTAGTTAAGCTGCTATAGGCTTAGAATGCCGGGGGAATTCTTAGGACACACCAAGCTCCTCTCTCACGCTCTCGTTCTACCATAATTCACGTTTTATTAATGCACATGACTAATTCAGCTTCTTTCCGGGAGTTTTTTTGTGCTTTCTCCCCTATCAGGTCTCCGTAGATCGTGGTTCCTTCTGGACCCTGGTCCTGACACCTACCGTGGCCATGCTGCCGCCTGCTGCTGCCATCATCATCATCATCATTTTAGATATTAATCATATTACTGTACTCGTAAACCAACATTACCCTCTCCTAAAGTCTCTGTGCTCTCCCTCCCCACAGGCTCCTGTGGATGGTGGTTCTATCTGATGGTGGTTCTATCTGATGGTGGTTCTATGTGATGGTGGATGCCCCTGCAGTGGTCCTGCTGTGCGCCTGGCTTGCTACTCACAATTACTTGAATCCTTTCTGTCATAGGAATTGCATGTATTATACATTGTTCATTCTGTACACATGGCATCCATTGTAGTCTGTCCATCCCGGGAGTGGGATCCCTCCTCTGACGTTCTCCCTAAGGTTTCTTCCCTTTTTTCCCTCTTGGAAGGGTTTTTTCATTTTTTGGGGAGTTTTTCCTGTGCCGATGGGTTTCGGGACAGAGGATGTTGTATGTGTACAGACTGTAAAGCCCTCTGAGGCAAATTTGTAATTTGCGATTTTGGGCTATACAAAATAAAATAAAATGTTTCATATCTTTCTGTGGACTGATATGATTTTAGGCAAGTACATAGTAAAGATGGCAATCATTCTGGAGAAGGCTAAATATTTCATTATACATTCGGGAAAACGCTCTGCGTTATCAAAACATTGATGAAATGAGTGTGACTGGTCCAGGTTACAGTTGCCTGTGGTAATGAAACGGGGCTTGGCAGAACCCCCCCCACCAACCCCATACTCAGGGTCTCATCTAGTGTCTCTGTGCAGATATGCCACCCTGCACCCGGGTCAGCCCTCCCCCGACAGGCCGAGCCAACCAACCCAGAGCCTCGGCCGTCGCTCCACTTCCAGTAAGCGCCTGCAGGCTGCTGGCCTTGTGTGAGGGCCAACTTTCTGCCGTCAGGCCCCGGCTTCCCCTACAAACAACCATAAAGAGCCCTGTGTTCTGGGCGGGAGGGGAGAAGTGAGAAGAAACAGACGCTCCATACACAAAAACACACTTCCCTCGGTCCGCCTCGATGCGGCATACAGGGAGCGGAGCTGTGCCGACTCAGATTAGTGCCAGGGTGCTTCACTGAAGGAAAACCTGGGTAAGCTGCCACTATTTGCTGCTGGCCCGCCTCATCAGTCTTGATGACTTATGGGCCAACGAAGTAATCTAACACTGGGATTCCCCGCATTTAAGCAACACCTCAAACCATGGTGCAACATCGCCTAGTATGTTTCTACAATGGACCGGACATCAGAAACGACTCACAATTAAAAAAAGGAATTTGTATGCACTGATATATATGATTCACAAAAGGTTTTGCTATGCTTACTTAAACCTTAAGAAAGAAAACTTGTTATTTTCTAGAGCGCTCCAACCGGAATAAGAAACTACAAAGGAGAAACCCCTCAGTTCAGTCTCATCAACCAAAAACAGCTAATCCAAAGCCATTGACAGCAATGGTATGATTCACTCTTTGTAAAATGAGATTCCTCGGCTTGTTTCATGCATTTGCTCAAGAAAAAAATTGAATCAGAACTGCAAGTATGGACTTGCTTTAAAGAATAAGTACATTTCGTATCCATACAGTTTTCCACCATTTAACTTCAAACCTTTGCCAACAATAGTCATTTAGCCGATAGCAAACCAGCGTGTTCCTACACATCACTTTAGCTGCAGTAAATCACTCAAAACGACCGAGCCTGTGTATGAGGGCTTGATAATAAGGTGAAATGTACCTCGGTTGTCTGTTAGGAGGCTGCAAATAATAGTCTCGTCTGGCAGGTACCATTATTGAAGCCTTGTCGATCCACCCTCTTTCTGACAAGATGTTACTTGAAGTCTGTGTGTTTTCCAGAGGCGTCCGTCACAGGGGTTGAATGGGAAGCTCTTTGAGGGCCTCAGAGCCCTGTCTCTAAATTAGTGGCTGTCATCTAAAGAAACCTCCATCATACCTGAACAGGATGGGTGGCTGGTGGAAACACACAAGCTAAACTCTTTATTGCCTCCAAAGCAAAAGTGGCAGGTATTCGTCCTCGTAATGATGATACTTGAGGAAGCTCAGCGGGAAAGAGAAGGATCAGGAATCAATGTGAGTCAGTAGATGACAAGCTTTCCACTATGTAATTGCCATTTGTCTCTGCGCTCTGTACTGTGTGATTGCAAGATCTCTATTGTTCCATTGCTGTTAGAAAACGTGATTTGGACATGGTGCAGCTTGTAGAGCACATGAGTAACCCTGCGAGTAAGTGCATACCAGAGTACACGTACAGTGAAGTGGGCTTTTTGGAGCAGTCCCCCACAAACTGGTTCACCTCATGCAGGAAGACTAAAGGTATTTACTATTTACTTACTAGGTAAGTTTGAATGGGTCTTTCTGCAACCTAACGTCAGCTGCATAAACCTAACAAAGTCGTTTTTTTTCTCCTGTTAACCACAAGTTTGAAACAGTTTAACACAGACTGTACAGTCCTGAACAAAACATGTCTCCCTTTAAAACGTATGTGAGAGTGTGGCTTGGTTGGGTGGGCTCGTGTTTTGTTTGGGACAGACTTGTTCTGAAAGTGACGCCTTTGAAACCATCCGTCTTCACTGCCACAAGATGCTGCTCGTGCAACCTGTTTTCAAGGTGAGGCGTTCCAGCCGCGCTTTCAAATCCAAGTTTCCTTTCTGCCTGCCTGCCTGCTCTCCTGGCTGATCAACAACTTAGAATTGTTCTCTCTGGCATTTTCCCTACTGGCTCGTGGTGGGATGAATTATGATGTGACACACTCCCTTCTGTACTTCTGGGCAGCCAAGGCGATCAAGATGAATCACCACCTTGGCCCCCAGGGGACCTGCTAAGATCCTGCCTTAGTTGTTTTTGGGGCCCTCATCAGGATGCTGAGGATTTGGAAATCCCTTGATACTGTACTCGGTAAGAAGAGAGGGCTGTGCACAAAGGAGCGGCCCAGTAGAACTATGTCAGACGATGGGATAATACACTTAATTGAGAGGGGATTATACACAGGGGTAATCATCCGGCTCCGTTGTGATCACATACCATTTAGTCCGTATTGAGTTTGAGAAAATGACGCTGACACTGTGTGATAAGCTGTGGAAATTTTAGGCCATTGATCTGCAACTTCCCAGCCTTTTAGATTGACGGGTCCCTTTCTTTACAGCAGCACATTTCTGGCTGTAACTCAGGGGAGAAACCGCATTGGAACCTTAGCCGTGACGATGTGCCGGTGCCGGAGCCAACAAGCAACACCGTAAAAAAAACAATACATCTGTCACAACCTCTGACAACCATCCCCCCCCCCCCCCCCCCCCCCCTTTTCCTGGCAAACGGAACAAAAAAAAGAGAGGAAAAAACCACCCGCGGCCTGAATGTGTGATCTGGAAACTGTTTTTTTACCACCCATTTCCCCGCCGGGGGGCTTGAGACGGGTGGTTGCCTGGGGAGTTTGGACACATCTTTTTGTGTGCCGGGGCGGGGGAGGCCGCCGCCCCCCCCACACAAAACCCTGAGGATATTTTAAATTTTTCGTCCCCGCAATTTGTCCCCTGACTGCTTCCCGAGAAGCATAAATACTGTGGGACGGGCAGGAGATGTGTTTTGTTCATCTCTTGCGTTGTCGTTGCGGTTCCGGAACGGGAAGGCCGGATTTCAGATCGCTAATTACCCGGTCAAACGGCTGCCATTCCGGGGTTGTGGGTTTGTACAGGAGACAAAATATTGAGTAAACAGCAGAGCAGTTTCTACTGCACGCCAACGTCCTACTGGCATCCCGTGAGAGGCTTTTTCTCTCTCATGGCTGCTAAGTCTGTGAAAGGCAGTGGAAACGCAGCTCCAAGCTAAGCTGAGCTAATAAGATACTTAGAAATGAGAAAGAAAATAGCACATAAAAGTACTTTATATACTGTAATATTCAGTAACGTGGGTACATTTGTGGAACCACCTATGTGTTGAATCTTTTTGAACAGCAGCCGATTTAAAAGGGTTAGATATTCCTAAATTAAAAACAGCTCCATGTAGGAGGAACATTGCCGAATATGAAATAGACAATATTTCTGGTACTACTGTAAAATGCCCATTGTGACTGGCGCGCAATGCCAAATTGATGGATTGGTTTAAAATCAGGACTAATGCTGAACAAATGAAACCTGTGAATTTCACAAAAAAATACACCGCGTGAACTTTCTGGAAATCACACGTTGCACTCAAAGCTGCTGTGCACCATCATTCTTCTGAGCCACATCAATACCCAGTCTATGCCTTTGCACTTCGTCGGCCAGGGACCGCAGCAGGTACCAAAGCAGCATCTGCACCACGTGACCCACAGCCATCACTACGTCACGTGCAGAAAGCGGTGAAGGATGCTCCGTACGGAAAGATTCCCCAGACAGGAAGTGCAGCCCTGACGCAGAGCAACCGGCCCGCGACCAAACGCTGCCACCAAGCACCGTGCCTCTGCACCTTGCTCCATTTCGCTGGGACAACAGTAATGAGGTGATTTTGGCGCGTGCCCGGGATGAGACAGCTAGATCAAGGTCTTGATGAATTAGTGGGAGCACTCTGTCAGAGTCCCATCACATTAATCAGAGCAAAACCCGGTGCACAGCCACACTGTTCCCTCCTCCCTTCCCCTCGCTTTGCAGGTGATGAATAGCTCTGCCTCCACTGTGTATCACCTGATCTCGCTGAATGTAAATGTAACAGCATAGTTCTCACAAAACCTCTATTGATCTTTCTCCCTGGTTCCCTTCCTGGATACAAATATCTTAGATAAGCATAAGGAGGCCTGGCAATGTTGGAAGGCCGGATTTTTATGGTAATGAAGTCAGAAAATAAATTGGTATTCCTTTGTAGGTCAGGTTAGGATACAAGTTGCAGATGCGAGCACATAACTGTACCATCTATGCTAAACAATGAACTCTCACTTCATGTCCTAAAACGGAAGGCTTCCAGAAACTCTTGTTCATAGGAGGGACTGCTCGGACGCGACCACTTTGGTCTACAAGAACTGGGGAAATCAAGAGGAGGTTGTGTTGTGCTAATGTGGCTCCACGCTTTCCTCATGTCTGGCTGCTGTATTTCAACTCTCAGAAGGAAGAGACGTGTTTAGTTCCACCAAATGGGAAGAAGTGGTAGTGTAATTCTCAGAGAAACATTTTTAGTGGATGGATATATTTAAAAATGTTTAACGTTCATCACAAGCCTCCCTGCTACTGACAATGGCATCATATGACTCTTGTGTTGGTTAGTGGAAATGTGTACAATTTAAAATGTGTACAATTTACTGACAAATGTCCTTCTGATTTTAGTATCCGTGTTGAGAGCTTTTAAATAAGGCCGAAAGCAGTGAAAGTCATTTGCGTTGGTTACAGGGTTTTCATTTATTAACCTGACCTTAGATGATCATTATATTCCACATTATCTTACAGTATGAACTGTTCATTTAAGCTGTGTAATTTAACTACTTAGTCAAGTATTCAAACCAACAGGATTCCTTTCCAAAAGGAAATATTCCAGACCTGTTGTGTACACATTTCCTAACAGGTCCACATATTTGGTATATTTGGGATCTCACTTTGTTGGATCTGAATGACGTTTGGTTACACTACAGCCCGATTTGATATTGACCACCTGATTCCAAGGAGTCCGATTGAAGCGGTGCTGTACAGACATTCTGCTCCACCTCCCATTAGGCTCACAAGGCTGCTGAAGCTTTGCTATGCTAGTGATAGCAACCGATATTTAGCCGCTAAGAGGTGGATCCCCGTTTGTTATGGAAGACACACTGTGGGTGTCTCCACGATGACTCGTCCCATGATGCCTGCACACATGTAAGGATCCTTACCCATGCATGGCGTGGAGTGGGTGTGGCTCGTAATGGTATCGCCCTTCGTGGTGTCTCATGTCGATGGGTATGGGCGTGTGGAACGTGGGGAAGAGGTGGTGGGGACCTGTGAGCGACAGAAAGACATCAGAAAACAGCAAAAGTCAGCGAAACAAATGATAAGACATGCTTAAATAAGGGGAGTAGTACAACGTAGTTCAAGACATAATAAAGGCTGATACATTTCCTGACTGGTGTCTGCAACGCAGCGTGAGACGCAACTGTACACTTTTACAGTTCCTGTAATCCGGCAGTAATTGAAACCTTCTCCACTGTCTGTGGCTATCGGCCAAAGAACCGTGTTCATTAATGACGCTCGCTATCCAACGAGACCAAAGCAGGGTTTACACAACAACGAATGGGTTTTTATGTGTCAGACAAAAGAATGCACACATCCACCATTTCCTGCTATAAATGGCCTGATGGCTTGAGGGAAGTCTCATTAGGATAACACAGGCGATCTTCATCCATTACTGTGATTACAACTTTAATGTCTTGATTGAGGTAGGAGGAGAGCTCTAATCATAGACTAAAGCCTACAAATTATCTCCACTTCCACATGTTAAAGTTCCACATGTTTGATGCAGTACAAAGATAATACAGCACATTGTGTGTGTGTGTGTGTGTGTGTGTGTGTGTGTGCGCACTGTGGAGGGACAGAGACAGAGCAGAGTGCTACGGAGCTCCCTGGAGATGATCCCTAGCTGCTATTAGGATTCTTTGGTCCAGTAGACTTTGATGACCTGGGAGCAGAGACCACCAGGGTTAAAGGTCAAAGCTCAGTGAGAGCAGATCATTATCTGTAGTGGAGAGGACCACTGGGACGGGCTGGACGGGGGAAATGTGATGAGCGAACATTTTCAGGACGTTTCATTTCAAAGGTGACGTGCTGCCAGAATTAAAAGACTTTCAGCTAAATTCGTGCCATACAGCTCACTGGACTTAGTATCAATTAGTTTTTTTCATTGTTGTAACGTTACTGACCCCAAACATCCTGCTCATTTTTCACATTCAAAGTCTGCCAAGAAAAGAATGAATTCAGCTACCAGGACGGCTTTTAATGCGAAACATCTGTAAGTAAGCATCAAGGAAAATAGAAAAGTGCTAGTGAATGTTCAAAATGAGTGAATATAAACGGTGATACTGTTGAAGAAAGAATGCAGAGATGTCGGTATGAATCACACATCTTGGCCAAGACAACAGTTACATAAAAGGACTTTTGGGTGAAACTAGATCCAAGGACATCTTCAATATAATTTAGCTTCTCAAATTGGTTTTGGTTTTCATCGGCTTGCTGTTGTAATATTTTAAATAGGACACACAGAATTTATTTCCCCGTTCAGGGAACATCCTGTGGGTTTACTTGTCTCGTCTGCATATTCTAAACACCTGCCTACTTAAACTGAGCCGAAGGGGCGAGGTGGAACAGGACTCTGTGCCTGCAGGCTGCAGCAGGACACTTAGTGTTGTTTTTAGCTGATGCCCATTACAAAGACAGACATTACTGCTCCTCAAACCCCGATTGAGCCCTTTGTCGTTGGGACGGAGGGAGTCCTCCTGGTGTCGTACCATCTCGTTGTTCGGATGGGATTACACAGGACTGGGGGACGAGTTTCCCTGAGGGCGGCCCTGAACTGTGACTGCTGTGGAATCTGTTTAAGAACTAGCATTATCCATAAGTGATTGTTTTTTGCCACTAGCTGAAGATGCAGTTAATGGAAGTAAGATTTTAATACAACTACTTTTTCCAAGTCCAAACTGCGCGGAAAATCCGATTCCAGCTTGTAGAAAACGATGAGTTATGGCAAAGGACCTCTGTCTTAGAAATATGTAGGATCATTGCCTCTTCCGGAATAACAATGAGGCACATCTACTGCAAAGCAGGTCAAGTAGATTTTAGACTCAAAATGATCCACTAGATGCCCACGGAGCAAAGTGTGCTGTAAAAATACATACCTGCGGGCCTCGCCTCCTCTCCTTTGAGCTCAGTAGGCCTGTAGGCTCTGTGCTTCTGAGGAGATCTACGCCGCTTGGGTCTCAGCCAGCCAATCTCCCCCCCCCGTCTTTGTGGAGTGGACGGGCGGCCAATTCCGAGTCAACTAGTGCGCCACAAAGCCACGAGAGGCCCCCGGTAAATGAGTGAGAGGGAGTGGGAACTGGGAAAAGGAGTTTGAGCTTTGTTTCACAAGTGGAGCCAGAGGTTCGGGCTTTGTCTGAGAGGTGGCCCCTGCTTGTGCTGCCTGGCACATCTCTGGTGGAGAGGGCGGCATGGGGGGGGGCAGATTGAGGAGGCTAGACTAAGACAAAGACAGCGCCGTTGTAGTAGCTTCTTTTGGACGCATTGGACAGCAGATCAATTACGCCGCTGAACTGTAGGGCCCATCCTGTTTTCATTTATGCTTTACTTTTTGGTGTGATTTTTCTTTTGATAAAGTTTTGGTTTCAACGGGTAGATTTCCAGCTGGGGAAGCTTTATTAATGCAAGTTTTTCCTGCCACCTGTCTAACATTAGATTTTTGGAGTAGTAGATGTAAAAGCTTTGATAAACTGAGATGAAAACGCTGGATGGAGGACGGCTGGAGGATTGGCTTTTTTCGTTCCCAGTACGAAACGATGTCCATTATTCAAACACATGCACAAGCACACAAAAAAACAAGCACAGGCCCCAGAGGCTGCTGTCCTCCCCTGCTTGGGTTGCTAAATGTGCGGGCGATAAGGGCTGAACAGGCCCTTCCATCACCAAGACAGCTGCATTGTTTCCGGACTGCAGGGACAGCGACCGACAGGTACACGGCCGGGACCATTCGCACGCCTCGGCTCCTTGATTTACCGCCCATCCCTCCCCTTTGGGTATGCTGGCATGCAGCGTTACTCCACCCTGGGCCACGTGCTGCCTACCCAGGACAGGACGGTACAGGACCGATATAAACGCAATGTGTCATTGAGACGTGGAACGAGATGTCCAGAGCAGGGACATCCCGTCTTCATCACCTCTTCAGAGCTTTGAGGCTGCAGGCCTCACCGCTGGTTTCGCATGTTTCAACCAGATCTTTTCGAATCGTCTGATCCTATCGGATCGGACTAGAACGAAGAGGAAAAGAGCGACAGCTGCCTCAGCCATTCAGAAGGCAAAATGGGTAAAGCGTAAAATGACACTCGACCGTGAGAGTGCTTGTGAGGTGATGGATGTATTTCTGTCCAAAAATATGAAAGATTGCTTTTAGTTTCAACGGATTGTTCAACTTTTACACCGCCGCAATAATAAAGACATTTTCTAACTCTGTTGAAACTTTGGGGAGTTGTGTTTGGAGCATTTTCAAACGGATAAATGAGCTTTATAGCAAACACTCTACGGTTCTTGTGGCATTTGTTCGTGAGAAGAACAGACTCTTCACGTTGGAAGTTGGTTCGGGCTCAGGTTTCTCACCCATATGGGGGAGGCTCGTCACCAACAGGCCCAATAGAGTTTTATCCTTTGAGGCTATAAGCGACCAACTTTACGGAGAACAAAAAAAATGCATTTAAAGCGTGGATCCGTACCATTGGAGAGAGAAAGCAGAAAGAACTAACTGTATTTGAAAGCTTATCGAACAAAAGCGCAAACACTGTGTCCATAAAAGACAGTGGTTTGGAAAAGGTCCTGGCTAAATGTCGGGAAAAAACAATGGCAACTTGGAGAGGTGAGAGCACAGCAAAGTGCACGAGGACAGCTAGAAACACAAACTTTTTTTATCTAGATCATCTACATTTCAAAATGCATGATTAGTTAATAAATGATATGTTTTAAATGAAATGACAGCCCATATATATATTTATAGATGTATAAATGTATTACATATTTATAGATATGTTGTCTGAACAAATAAAACAGATAACAATAACAACATTTGTTCAAAATACACACATGTGCACATGTTTTTATCCGTTAAATATCTTCTCCTATTTCTCTTAAGACTGAACATGCCCCTGCACCCCCGACCGACCCAAACATCTAGTCACCTCTTTTTCTTTTTTCTAAGCTTCACATCTCAAAGCCCCGGTTTGATCTCTCACTAAAGACAATGCCAGGTGTTCGTTGGTAACAAAGGCCCCATCGAGTCACGTGACTCAGAGACAGAAGAAGCAAAAGCACCTCTCATTATGACCAAACGAAGGCCCAGATTAGGACCATGCTGAAGTGGAGTGTGGAGTGGGCTCATGGCTCGGAGGAAGTACTCAACAATAATAATAATGCCCTGAGAGGCCAGGCCAGGAATAATTTTGTGAGAAAAAAAAGCCTTTGTTGTGCTCAGAGAGCGAGAGAGAGAGAGAGGGGGAGAGAGAGAGAGAGAGAGGGGTGGAGCTCAATTGAGACAGGAAATTCCAGCAGAAGAAGTTGGCCTGGGTCCTAACTACACAGCGCCGTGCCAACGGCTATACACAAACGCTCATGTGCATGCACACACAGTCACACACTCACTCGCAATTACCCACACAGATACTGATTTGTTCTGCAGGTCACTGTGTATGCAACCATCATGAGTGACGGAGACAAACACAAACGTGTGACTTTGAGGTTCAACAGACATGCCTTTGTGAAACACACAAAACACACCAGGCAAATCTTCCACACAGGTTTAATAAAACTTGTATGTTTAGCTTAATCCCGGCTTCCTGCACTGCACACACACACACGCACAACATGAAACCTGCAGGTTTAGTTCGCAAGACGTCTCTTCCTCTAGGGCAGTGCATGGGCGAGTGATGGCGACAGAGGGATTAGAGGCTTACGGGCGAGCACGGAACCACTGCCACCTATGAAAGGAAGTCTCAACAAAGTGGCTCTTTACTTTTAACTGCCCTCAGGGAGGGTAAAATGATACCGTTTTTATTGATCGGGGGATTTTGGTGCGGAAGGTAAGTGGCTAAGGCCAGCGGTCGGTTTGAGCGGAACCTCATTAGTCCATGGGGCCGTGTGCAAAGACCGCATGTGTTATGATGGAGCATTAAACACTGTGAAGACTGAGGCCGTTGTTTTCCAGAGGGTCTGTGTCGGCGCTGTGAAGCGAGCACGGTGCCTGACGCTTT